TGATTGTTGTATTTTAAATCATGTTATTGTAAATTAGTCAATTAAGAATCGTAAACGTTGCATTTCAGTTTACGTATTGGTCGGTACGAATTTTCATCTCCAAATAAATCTACGTTAACCGTCGTTCTGGTTTAATTTATCTCGTGGAGAGCCGATTCACCGCCGCTCCAATCCAGTAATTATATAGTCCTTGCTACTTAAGCACTTAGTCGTTGGTCTCGACACTACGTCCGATAGTGAATTATATCGCCCGCAAATTCACGCCCGTTGGTTCTTAGGCTAAGCGCTTACACTAATGGAAATACTTTGTTTTATATTCTAAATAGGCACCCAATAACCCTGCTTAAAGAAGCCCCTGCATTTTGCATTTTTTCACAGTCAATTCACAATTGTCCCTGTAATGTTCAATTGATAGAACATTTGCAAAATTGACATTCTATCATTTCCAATACAAACTAAAAGTATATTTAACAAATAAGCGTACAGACCATAGAAAAACGATTTCGATTAGTTTTTTACCATAACAAAGCCAAAAACAAAGTAAAACTTTCCTAGGATCGACAACGGCTCTCAACCAATCAGCATGTGAGAATTCTACAGGTTATGGTAAAAAGCGTACTTGACCAGAAAAAATAATGGTAAAAAAACTATGGTAAATTTTGGTTTTAGTTCCAGATAAGAATTTACAACCATCTTCAAAAACAACAAAGGATCAAGTAAGTGAAATKATATTTTGCCTTGACCTATACACACACTTCATTATTCACTGCCAATTTTTTTTTTATGGAAATTCAAAAAGTAATAGCAATTTTGTTTTAAAATAAAATGTGTTGTATCAGGGGGGGGAAATYCCAAAGAAACAGGCCGACTCCAGGGTGAAGTACTGGGGATGCTCATCGAATCTCTTAGGGGTAAAAATTTGTGATTGGGAATCTTTTAGGGTGCCAATTTGAAGTTTCTGGAACTTCGCATTTTCTGCAATCTCTTAKGATGTCAGAAAAGAAGAGAAAGAGCACATTGATATTGATTTTCCTCAGCATTTTGTTTTGTCTTTAATATTTTATACATTTTATCAYTGGAACTGCAATCTCTTAGGAGTTAAAAATCAGACAGCCACACCCTTTTTTCAAGACCTCCAGGATCTTTTAGGGGTCTTTTGACAGCCACATCTGCACCATACACACTACCGCACATTCAGTTTTCAAAATGCTTGTTTTGATCTCAGCCCTTCGGTGATTGTGTTTCAATACTAGTCCTTCTTTATTTATATAAATCATTACAATAAAATTTGATTTTTACTCAGCTTCAGGCAAACATTACAGCAGTAAGAAAAGCAAATGCTTCTATTGGAAAGTTTGCAAAAACTCTGGTATGTAGTAGAGTTTCTCTTAGAGTTTCTCTTTCTCGTTTATGTTATGAGGGAATCTAAAAGTATTACAGTCCCAGAAGAGCCAGGACACACTGAGCTTAAGGATAAGGGTCCAGAAATCAGCCAATCAGATTTAAGGTTATCAGGAAGCTATRTTAGTTATCGATTTCTTAACATTTGTTTTTTAATTAGCAGAGGTAATAAAGTGTGTATTCATCTGTTTAGCATGTGTAGCGTTCCTCTTAGGATCCCTGAAGACCGCTACACGCACTCTCTTCTGTTCATGTTGAATTCAAATCATTGAAAATCATATAATCTCAGTATCTTTTTAATGGTTTTTATTGAGAGATCGTTATTTTCGAAACATACCATACGCTGTGTTGTTTTAGGATATGCTATAGCTAAGATATGTTCTTGATTTTATAGGACAAAGAAAAAGTACCAAAAAATCCAGAAGGACGAAAACGACAGGTAAATTAAGTAGCATTTCAAATTACGTAACTTCAGATGTAGAATAATAAAAGTTCCATCATTTTGTCTGTAAAATTTACCAAAACAATGATTAAGGAGGCATAGATTCCAAAAATAATATTCACTAATAGAGCTGGCGCACTTACTACAAAATAATAATGATTCATGCTAATTCCTTTCCTTTATTTCCTATTGTCTAAACAATACTTTTTAGTAGTAATTRGTTATATTTGTTTCGCGAACTGGTGCGTCCTCTCTAGAACGTTTTTGTAAGTTTTGGTTGAAGGGAAGGATCACTCTAAAACTCCACAGTAAACMTCATCTAAGTCTCTATAATATGTATTTTATTTTACCTGATAAAWCAAGCTAGCGACTTCCTTAAAGTCAACATGTTTCTTTCTTACAGTTTGAGAAAGTCTCTGGAGATTTTACAAGTGAAAAAAAGAAAAGTATGGAGGTAGTTGAGAAAATGTTCAAGAAAACCCCAACACTGRATTTAAACAAGGTAGGTATTGATACTTTCTCTGATTTTATCCATTCTCGATACTTTATAACATGTATCGTTGCTTTATTAGGCTGTTGGTCAACATTTAGCACAGACACAGAAAAGGTTACTAGATTCTTTCGTTTAAATCATCAATGACATTTGAGATACATTACTTTAGCCATGTCAGACAAAAACGCTTACACGGGATGATTTGTTTGTTATCATAATTTAACCAATATACCGTCATTTTCAATTGGATTTCAGCTCTGCAAAGAAGAAAAAAGGCGGTGACAAAAAGAAATCCCAAAAAAGGTCAAGCAAAAGACCATCAAAACAAGGCAAAAAAGGCAAAAAGACTTGAAATTTGGACATTTTTTACTATCAAACTATAAATATTAACAGAAATTCCAGAATGCAAATGTAATTGAGTCCATGATTTCTTCAAAACACGTTTGTCATGTTTTACAAAAAACTCGAGGTAACTTCATTCTATAAATTGGATGGTTTTCCTTCCTACACCGTAAACCCGTGAAATGCACTTTGGCAAACCATACTTTATTATTCTACGTTGTTCTTTTTTTCAGTGTTGTTTCGGTGGATTTCATTAGCCATTACATTTTGTTTCACGGGTTGAGGAATATCAGCCAAACATGTATCTCTCTAGTCACATGAAGATTTAGCAATACATCACCGCTACGGCACGGTACGGTCACAGCGCGAAATCCTACAGTCCAGTATTATAGTAAACTATTGTATAACAATGCTGTACAGTTGCTGTACACTAACGAGGGGGAGAGACTARCACTACTAGCTATTGGAGTATCCAGCTATATCAACAGGCAAGCTAAGCATAGGTCACGGGTACATCCTACATTTGCACGCAGGTGACATTTTCGACGCATTCCATTTGCCAGAACTAACCGGCCATACTTAAACACAATGACATTATAATTAATTCCTGATCGTGCAGAAGAATAAATTTCTATCAGTATTTCATCCCTTTATCTTATCGTTTGATGGAAAACTTTAAAAATTACTGAAAAGTCTCGACAAAAGGTATTCTTTACCTCTTTTAAGATGTACCGCTGGCCGGCCAGTTATGACTAAATGGACAGTGGCCTTTGAAAGTGAACACTTCGTTCTACTGGTGAGATTTGAATAAACCGAGTGAGAAAGCAAAGACCAATATTTAACAGCTTGAATTAAACATGATCTTTTTTGGGTAAATTTTTAGCTCTCCTAAGTGGAATTAGGTTATCTAGTTTGGATATCGAAGAATCTGATTGGTCTGCTTCCAAACGCTCTTTCCTTTCCTGGCCATCTTTTTGATATATTGCCTCTACCCTGCAACAGCAGTTTTCACAAAGGTTTTGAACCTCTTCGTCCGTCAGAATGTACTTGGGGATATCTGGTGAATGATAATAAAAAGAAATATAGAAATGAATTCGTGAATGTCCATTTAACAGTAATACACGAAATCAAGCAATTTGATAAAATATGTCCGTTCACCCTGAAGAGAGCGTGTAATGAGTATATGAGAAGATACGAGCTTAGCAAAAACAAAGACATCAGATATCAATACCTCRACCAGATTCATTAAGAACCGGGACAACTGAAAGAAGATATCTCCGCCCTGTAAAAGCCAGGACCCTCAGCCGAACAAAGATGATGATGCGAGTGTGTTCTTAACCTCCAGTGCATATTTTTGAAAATATTTGGAAGCGCTGCATAGGTTTTACGAATTTTCAACAGTTTTTCTAATTTCTGCCTTTTTTAAGTCGATCGAAGATACTACCGTTAGCAATCGAAGATTTTTTGTGGGAGGGCGATTTATCACTCACTCGATCACTTTCCTGTTAACTGGCCGTTGTTACTATAGCAGCAATTTCATTGAAAATTGTTTTTAGTTGATCGGGCGTGAGATCAAAACAACCGTCGAATAGATATTGCACTTATTAAAATACTATGTTATGCTTCTTCTACGTTACTTTATAAGTCACCGAGCTTTGGGCTAACTTGTCCATCACTATCAGGGCACTAAAATGAAATTACAATGCGTGCGCGAGGATACAAAAGTAAACAAAACACTATCATAGTAACATAATTGCAATAGTTCAAACCAATTAACATACTGCGCGTGCATTGAAATTACAAACATCAGGAGCGCAATTAAAACACAAAAGTTAAGGATTTAATTAAAACAGAAAAAGATAAAAATGTTCTGACTAGTTAATGTTGCGCGCTCTAAACCAGTTATGTTACCATAGTGAGTTGTTTACATTTGTATCCTCCGTGCGCATTGTAATTTCATTTTGCCCTGATGATGGACAAGTTGTCCGAAAGCGATCGGTAACTAATAAAGTAACTAACAAGAAGCATACCTTGGTATTTTAGCATCAATCGTACGATATTGCACTAACACCTTAGGACACTCTGGTTGCTTTGTTTAATTTTGTTTCACAGGTTTAATGATTTCACTCCACTCCCTGCAAGCCAAACAAAGTCTTTACCTTCAGTRTTGTTTTTCACTGCTTTCAGCATTTTTGGCTTGTACCAGAAATACTCCCAGAGTACTCCAACCCCTGTCATTACGCCAAACACTGCGATTAATATGAAGAAAAATTCAACGTCTTCAAACAAGCTTCCTGTATATTCGAGTTCATCGTTTGCCATGGTTGAGTTGGAGAGGGACTGTTGAAATTGTAATAAAAACAGCACATCAAACTAGCTCCGTGATTATATCTGGACTCAAGCTTATTCACATAGCTTGTTATCAGAGTGTAACTGTTTAATAAAGTCATGAAAAGCATTCTTGAAAAATTGTGCTGATTTAATCAAATTTCTTTCAAATTTTTTCAAATTTCACGCAGGCTAGTGCTGGATTTTACTGTGGAACAGGGTATAGTTTTCAACTATTTTACTATGGAACAGGGTATAGTTTTCAGCGATTTCACTCTGGAACAGGGTCAGGGTTTTGAGGTCCAAGCGGGACAACCCCCCACCCAAGTTTGGAGGGAGGTCCCCCCCCCCGGGAGTAGATTAGACAATAGAAAAAAGGAGTTTCGTAGAATTCARTATAGTTTAGCACTATATCTAATTAGGGTTTTCGTGGTTTTAGTGTTTGTACTCAATCACGAACACTGCAGTCAACAATGAAAAACTGCAAACGATTTCGCAATTGAGGTAAATCACAAGGAGTTGTCTTGAATTGATGGGATTGAAACAAAACCAATAACGTTTTACAAAGGAATCTAACAATGTCATTCTAGCTAGAAGACCRATTTCGAGTTTTTCGATGTTAATAAAATCATAACTCAGTAACACACTTACTCCAAATATGGTTTCTTGGAAATCGCTAGTTTCAACTTGTCGTTCAATGCACTGCTTCACAGCGGCGCACATACTGACGTCTGGCATAATAAGTCTCATTCCAATGAAATGATTGAAGTCGATCATCTTTCCAATTTCGATGAGTTTCGACTCTTTACCAGTGTGGATCGCTCTAATGCTGACTGCAGCGTGCTTGTCTATTAATACACCTTGGATCTYCTTATCGTGTTTCAGGGCTGACATCATGTCTGGTAAGTTATTGTATACAGCTTAAAAAGAGATGAATGAACAAGTTATGCGACCAATGCTGAGACTGGCTGAGGTGACTGATTATTGWTTCAATGTACGCAATTCAATGTTTGACTRCACACGTGCAAATGAGAACCTTTTCGATCACTTGTTTTTTGTTTTTACAAACGATTTCTTGCTGAAAGTTGAATCACGCAAAGGTTCTCAGATGCAATGTAATGATGAAGATTAAATAGTGTACAATTTAAATCATACTCAGGATAGATGACAGCATAGTTATTATTAGCTATGATTTACAGCTGTTTTCAACTATYATTGATCGTGATTACATGGACAATTCTTGAAAACAGGTCTCAAAGCACATCAGTGTTTTGGCTGAGATTGCTCTCATTGACGCTATTAGCGCAGGAAAATGTAGAAATAAAAAACACTGAAMTSTAGGCTGCACAACTATTGCTTGAAGAGACTTTATATTTTCTTTTCAATTATTTTTTATATATTTAATAGTTTTCGTATACGACAAAATGTGGAAGAAAAGCACGATTGCATGGTAACTCGCACTGTTAGTGCACGCGTATTGTTTTTGTGGATTACCTGTGGTACTACGTCACGATCCCGTGCCYCGCGGGATGCAAACTAACTTGTGAGTACTACAGCTAATCCTCAAATACAATACGCGCCAATAATAAAACGCACACTCSTTCTTTTTTTGTGACAAAAGGACTTATGGGGCCTCCCGTCAATATGTCATCGTGCCGTAACCATCCACTTGTAGCAGGCGTTCCTTGCGAGTCCTTGATATGTTTAAGTTGAAAAGAGACAGAAAAACAAACGAAGTAGCAACAGCAAAAAAAAAGAACTGATGAAAAAGAAAAAAAAAGGAGAAAAGAAAACAAAAAACAAACRAAAAAGAAACAATACACAAGCAAAAAAGAGAAATTCCAGCAGCAGGGCTCGAACTCAGAACTTTCGCTTCAGGAAAGATGTATCCCCCCTGAATGCATAAGARATAATCAAAATAAAAAACTAAAAAGATGGGACGATTCCCCCGAGACATTCTATCATGAAGCTGAGGCGGTTAGAGATTTGCCGCTCTTCCACACTATCCCGAATGAACATAAAACTTAGTCTTAACCAAAAGGCACTCTTAGACCATCGTACTATRAAGACACTTATAGTTATCTGATATCAAATGGGGGTAGTCTATCCGGTGAAGTTTTTTGCTAATATACGACGTCACCAAATTCCTTAGGGAGCAGCGAGCCAATCACTGCTTATCTTGGTAATTAGAAAATGATACAGGCTTTGCATAATCATTCTTCAGTGGATTTATTATTTGATGGGGGTGGGGATGGGTGCTGAGTGCTGAGTGCTGAGTGCTGAGTGCTGGTTTGCGGCCGAATACCGACGATGTACTCGATAATGTGACGGCTTTCACCAAGCTGCTTCAATTTTCGTTATTGTTTTCCAAATCATCACAGGAAAATTATGTGTACAGTTCTTATATCAGACAGATATTACTAGTGTTCGTATAAACACCATGGGACAAATCTCTTGAAATTCTTAACGCAAGTGGTTTACAGCCAGGCAGATTCTAGCTGTTGCCAAAGATTTGCCGGGATTCAACGGAACGCAATTGATAAACTGAAACTCCAACATTACATTCSAACGTTCTACACATTCTTCATCTTCGTTCTTTTTGATATGTGCAGATGCCCATGCATTGAACTGGGTTGTATGGTGTGAGATACAGGGGAGGATTTAGGGGGRTTRAAGGGGCCGCGGTCCAACCTTTTGCTGATCAAAACTAAAAAAAAATAAAAGAAGCAACAACAAAACATCGAAAAATAAAAATAATTCTTAAAACAATTTGCACTTTCGAGTTGAGTAAATAAAGGCAAATTTTATCGCGAAAATCTCCCGCCATTTTTGTCGACGCCCAACCACAAGACTTTGATCCCCTCAAGAACTTTGTCATTTATTGGCTTGATGCCATTTTCCATGTTAACCATGTGACAATCAAATACTGTAACATTAGCTTCATAACGTCGAAGTGCCGTAAGTAGTGGCTAGACGTTGCTTGGAGCCTGTCTAGAATGGTGTAGTGAGGCGCCTCCTTCCCTCTATCATTGAACTCTCTATTTGTTCTGTTGAGCACCTAGAG